TTATTAAACACACATAACGGCCCCTCCAGAGGAATGTACTTTTTCATTTCTAAGTAGCTTATATCTAGTACTCATAAAGCACATTTCACAGGCCAAGGTTTACTCTTCACTGTACTACGGTACAACAGAAGTAATAGTAATAGTAATAGTCCATTTGGACTATTACTATTACTATTACTATACTATCCAATAGGCCATTTGGTCAATCCAAAGAAGATCCAAGATGGCAGCATGTCCACTGTCTGCTCAGTGTCTCTCTCTGGGACTAACTCGTTTTAATGGATTTTTACTGCTTTTAATTCTTTTTAAAGTTACAGTTTAATGTATTTTTTACTGAAACTTCTTCACAAGCTCTTGAGAATTGTGAATTGTGGACCTTTAATGAGTTTAACTTAGCCTCTCCCACACCCTGAGCTTGGGCTAACAGGCCTGAGCCTGCTACATCCACCTGGAGCCTGGCCTGAGCCTGCCACATCCACCTGGAGCCTGGCCTGAGCCTCCTACATCCACCTGGGGCCTGGCCCGAGACTCCTAGAATCCACCTGGAGCCTGGCCTGAGCCTGCCACATCCACCTGGAGCTTGAGCCTGCTACATCCATCTGGAGCCTGGGCTAACAGGCCTGAGCATGCTACATCCACCTGGAGCCCGGCCTGAGCCTGCTACATCCACCTGGAGCCTGGCCTGAGCCTGCTACATCCATCATCTGGAGCCCGGCCTGAGCTTGCTACATCCATCTGGAGCCTGGCCTGAGCCTGCTACATCCATCTGGAGCCTGGCCTGAGCCTGCTACATCCATCTGGAGCCCGGCCTGAGCCTGCTATATCCATCTGGAGCCTGGCCTGAGCCTGCTACATCCATCTGGAGCCTGGCCTGAGCCTGCTACATCCATCTGGAGCCCGGCCTGAGCCTGCTATATCCATCTGGAGCCTGGCCTGAGCCTGCTACATCCACCTGGAGCCCGGCCTGAGCCTGCTACATCCACCTGGAGCCCGGCCTGAGCCTGCTATATCCATCTGGAGCCTGGCCTGAGCCTGCTACATCCACCTGGAGCCCGGCCTGAGAGCCTGCTACATCCATCTGGAGCCCGGCCTGAGCCTGCTACATCCACCTGGAGCTTGAGCCTGCTACATCCACCTGGAGCCCGGCCTGAGCCTGCTACATCCACCTGGAGCCCGGCCTGAGCCTGCTATATCCATCTGGAGCCTGGCCTGAGCCTGCTACATCCACCTGGAGCCCGGCCTGAGCCTGCTACATCCATCTGGAGCCCGGCCTGAGCCTGCTACATCCACCTGGAGCCCGGCCTGAGCCTGCTATATCCATCTGGAGCCTGGCCTGAGCCTGCTACATCCACCTGGAGCCCGGCCTGAGCCTGCTACATCCATCTGGAGCCCGGCCTGAGCCTGCTACATCCATCTGGAGCCCGGCCTGAGCCTGCTACATCCACCTGGAGCTTGAGCCTGCTACATCCACCTGGAGCCCGGCCTGAGCCTGCTACATCCACCTGGAGCCTGGCCTGAGCCTGCTACATCCATCTGGAGCCTGGCCTGAGCCTGCTACATCCACCTGGAGCTTGAGCCTGCTACATCCATCTGGAGCCTGGGCTAACAGGCCTGAGCCTGCAGCATCCACCTAGAGCCTGAACAGGCAGGCTTGAGCCTGCTACATCCACCTGGCCTTGGCCTGCTACATCCAACATAACAGTATCTGTTTATGTCATTCAACATGAGGATGGTATTTTTCATGACTTTATTGTGTGTGTTGACTGTGTGGGACTTGGGACCGGGCAGTGCTCCTTGGGTGAGTACATCTAATACTATGCAGACCATGTGTGAAACCTACTATAGAGGCACTAAAACTAGTGCAGCAGGTCACCCTGAGCCACCACTGACTCATTTTGTTTTGGCCTTCAGCTTCAATCCGCCTGGGGTTTTACCAAAACTTCAAGGTTTTCTTGCTTTATATAATCTTTCTCTTACACTTAAGGAAAAGCAATGTCTGGCTTCAACATATAAAAAGACTGCTTCAAAATGTAACGTGAAACGAAGATTGATTATGATTGTTCTACTTTTACTTTTATCTGGAAATGTGCAACCAAACCCTGGACCTGAGCTGAAATGTGTCCAGACCCCTGCTGATTTCAAATCTATGCCTGGGTTAAAATTTGTTCATCTTAATGTGCGCAGCTTATTACCCAAGATGGACATGGTCAAAATTTGGGTGAAATCGACAGATGCAGATTGTGATCATTTCTGAAACATGGCTTTCCAAATCTACTTCTAATGATGACATCAACATACTTGGATACAATGTTTATCGCACGGATAGGCCCAAGAAAGGTGGTGGCGTAGCCATTTATGTAAAATCAAGATTTGATGTATCAATTGTTCTATCTGAGTCTATTACTAAGCAAATTGAGTTTTTGGCTGTTCTGTTCCATTTGCCCGTTCAGAACTGGGAAAAAGGGCATTTGTTCACTCTGCTCCTTCTACATGGAACACGTTGCAAAAAGAAAATAACTGATCTTATTCCATTGAACGAATTTAAGTCCAAAGTGAGAGCACTTGAGTCAACCTCTTGTAAATGTTTTTTATAATGAGTATGTAATGTGTATGTAATTCTTAAACTGTATATTTTGCTGCCTCTTGGCCAGGACTCCCTTGAAAAAGAGGTTTTTAATCTCAATGGGACTTTCCTGGTTAAATAAAGGTTAATAAATAAATAAATAGTAAAAGTACAAATCAGTCTTCCATGTAACTCTACTATAATCTTGATCTCTTCTTGAGACTTTACAGCTGTTTCTTATCTGCTTCTGTCAGAGGGAGGGATGAGACTTTGACCTCCTCTGGTCCAACGATTTCAACTCATAATGTTGAAAATCAAACTTCAGAAAAACAGGCATAGTCGTGCTGTTTCGATTACGACCATTCAAACAACTGTCACCGCTTAATGATGATAAAAATGCAGTATATTCACCAATACACAAGTGCCTTACGAGACTGCAGCGAGAAAGGAGGTGATTTAAGACTTACCTGGATTTATCACAGAGGGAGTCAAACACATGTAGCAGATCTTATTTATCCTTTGATCTGTATTAGTCCAGACAAATGTCGGCTTTGTCATCAGATCAAAAATAGTTCAAAGTTTTGCATAATTTAGGCGAATGGCATTTTTCCCCAATGACGATGGAGTCTTCGTCCCGCGGCAGAATCACATGTTTACTGCAGAAACAAGAGCGAAACAATAAAATATGAATAAAACAGGTTTTTTTTAAAATACAAGTTTGTGGAAAGTGAAATGTTTCCAAAATGAGCTGAAGGAAAGAAAACAGGAAGCGTCTGCAGTCACGTGCAGAGGGCTCAGCTGATCCAAATGTAAATATTATTTTAAATGTATTATTATCCATTTTGTTGTTAAAATTATTATTATAGATCTGTGGATATGTACAGGTCAGTGCGCATCAGTGAAACATTTTATTAACGCGGGTATTTTCCAGTTTTTCGCAGATGTAATATCAGTCTCTGCCGCTAGAGGGACACAGAGCACAACAGGAACAGTCGCTCTTGTATGAAGGGACCAGAGAGGGACCAGAGAGAGAGACCAGAGAGGGACCAGAGATGGACCAGAGAGGGACCAGAGAGGAATCATAGAGGGACCAGAGAGAGACCAGAGAGGGACCAGAGAGCGACCAGAGAGCGACCAGAGAGGGACCAGAGAGGGACCAGAGAGGGACCAGAGAGGGACCAGAGAGGGACCAGAGAGGGACCAGAGAGGGACCAGAGAGGGACCAGAGAGGGACCAGAGAGGGACCAGAGAGGGACCAGAGAGGGACCAGAGAGGGACCAGAGAGGGACCAGAGAGGGACCAGAGAGGGACCAGAGAGACCAGAGAGAGACCGGAGAGAGACCAGAGAGAGACCAGAGAGGAACCAGAGAGGAACCAGAGAGGGACTAGAGAGGGACCACAGAGAGACCAGAGAGGGACCAGAGAGAGACCAGAGAGAGACCAGAGAGAGACCAGAGAGGGACCAGAGAGAGACCAGAGAGAGACCAGAGAGAGACCGGAGAGAGACCAGAGAGAGACCAGAGAGGAACCAGAGAGGGACTAGAGAGGGACCACAGAGAGACCAGAGAGGGACCAGAGAGGGACCAGAGAGAGACCAGAGAGGGACTAGAGAGGGACTAGAGAGGGACCAGAGAAAGACCAGAGGGGGACCAGAGAGGAACCAGAGAGGGACTAGAGAGGGACCACAGAGAGACCAGAGAGGAACCAGAGAGGAACCAGAGAGGGACCAGAGAGGGACCAGAGAGGGACCAGAGAGAGACCAGAGCATGGATCTAGGGCCAGAGAGAGAAAAGTGAAAAGAAAGGGCAGCTCTCGTATGTTTCTGTTAGAAACCCGCACTTAGTGAGTGAGCAGGCCTCTGCTCAGGACTTTTTATGACTCTGTGGTAGCTTTTTGCCATTTACTACGCTCCCGTGTGCTGGGCCCCGGGCAGCACAGAGCGGGACAGAAACAGACTGAACAAGCTGGTCAGGAGGGCCAGCTCCACTCTGGGCTGCTCCCTGGACTCTGTGGAGGAGGTGAGGGACAGGAGGCCCCTGGACTCTGTGGAGGAGGTGAGGGACAGGAGGCCCCTGGACTCTGTGGAGGAGGTGAGGGACAGGAGGGTGCTAGCCAAAGCCACCTCCATCATGAACAACACCTCCCACTGCACAGGACTGTAGAGGAGCTGAGGAGCTCCTTCAGTGGAAGACTGAGACACCCTCAGTGTAGGAAGGAGCGCTACCGCAGGGCCTTTATCCCCACCGCTGTCAGACTGTACAATAAGTCACTTTAAATGATCACTGTGTGTAAACCTGCACTACTATTGACACTGTTTCCAATTGACACTTGTCACTTTTGTTGTACATAATTATTGTCACTTTATTGTACATATATCCTGCATGTAACATGTTTGCACATTTCCTCCTTTTGCACAATCTGAGTGTCTCTATCCATGCTAAATGTGACATGTACATTTCTCCTCTGTGAGATAAATAAAGCACATCTTATCTTAAAAAGGCAAGAGATTCTTCTGCATTTAACCCATGACTCTCCAGAGGCTATTGCTCTGGTCAGGACCGAGAGCGGGAGGAGAGGGAGAGCGGGAGGAGAGCGGGAGGAGAGGGGGGAGATGGGGGAGAGGGAGAGCGGGAGGAGAGCGGGAGGAGAGGGGGGCGGATGGGGGAGAGGGGGGAGAGGGGGGAGTGGGGGTGTGGGGGTTGTAGCAGGATCCGGGGCCCCTCCCTTTGCTCTCAGTCAACAATAAAAAACACAGTTCCAGTAAAGAGCAAGATTCTTCTGAGGGTCCAGAGCCGACCATGGAGACAGACCACCCCCAGACTGAACCAGGTCTAAACCAGATCTAAACCAGGACTAAACCAGGTTTAAACCAGGTCTAAACCAGGAGTAAACCAGGACTAAACCAGGACTAAACCAGGACTAAACCGGGTCTAAACCGGGACTAAACCAGGAATAAACCAGGACTAAACCAGTTCTAAACCAGGACTAAACCAGGTCTAAAGCGGGACTAAACCAGGACTAAACCAGGTCTAAACCAGGACTAAACCGGGACTAAACCAGGACTAAACCAGGACTAAACCAGGACTAAACCAGGACTAAACCGGGACTAAACCAGGACTAAACCAGGACTAAACCAGGACAAAAGCAGGACTATATCAGGTCTAAACCAGGTCTAAACCAAGACCATTCCAGGTCTAAAGCTGGTCTGATGGTTTGAATGCGGGTTCAGAGAAAGTGTTTAATGGATGATTTAATAACTGTTAAAGTTAAAGCAAATATCTACAGCAGCTTCAACCGTGACAAGGAAGTCCCCACACCAGCCGACCAATCAGAGCCTTCTGCCTCTGGTCTGTCTCTCTGGTCTCTCTCTGGTCTCTCTAGATGCTCTGGTCTCGATGGTGTATGTGCATGAAACCTGAGTCAGACACAGGATCTGAGTCTCCACGACACACGCCGACACTCAAGCACAAACAAAGTGTAGTTTATTCTCCCACTGACCTTAACACCAGAGAGACCAGAGAGAGACCAGTGAGAGACCAGAGAGAGGCCAGAGAGAGGCCAGAGAGAGACCAGAGAGAGACCAGAGAGAGACCAGAGAGAGACCAGAGAGAGACCAGAGAGAGACCAGAGAGAGACCAGAGAGAGGCCAGAGAGAGACCAGAGAGACCAGAGAGAGGCCAGAGAGAGACCAGAGAGAGACCAGAGAGAGACCAGAGAGAGACCAGAGAGAGACCAGAGAGAGGCCAGAGAGAGACCAGAGAGAGACCAGAGAGAGACCAGAGAGAGAGACCAGAGAGAGACCAGAGAGAGACCAGAGAGAGACCAGAGAGAGGCCAGAGAGAGACCAGAGAGAGACCAGAGAGAGACCAGAGAGAGACCAGAGAGAGACCAGAGAGAGACCAGAGAGACCAGAGAGAGACCAGAGAGAGACCAGAGAGAGACCAGAGAGAGACCAATGAGAGACCAGAGAGAGACCAAAGAGACCAGAGAGACCAGAGAGAGAGACCAGAGAGAGACCAGAGAGAGACCAGAGAGAGACCAGAGAGACCAGAGAGAGACCAGAGAGAGAGAGAGACCAGAGAGAGACCAGAGAGAGACCAGTGAGAGACCAGAGAGAGGCCAGAGAGAGACCAGAGAGAGACCAGAGAGAGACCAGAGAGAGACCAGAGAGAGGCCAGAGAGAGACCAGAGAGACCAGAGAGAGACCAGAGAGACCAGAGAGACTAGAGAGAGACCAGATAGAGACCAGATAGAGACCAGTGAGTCCAAAGCTCGTTCTGCTGAGTACTGTCTCTGTGAGTGGCTCTAGAACCTTCTCCCTCTGAGCCGGGTTTGGGTCATGTTATGATTTAAGCCGCAAGGCGGGTTGGATGCCGAGTGGTTTTGAGACAGTGTGTGTTTGTCTCAGTGACACTATGTGTGTTTGTCTCAGTGACACCATGTGTGTTTGTCTCAGTGACACCATGTGTGTGTCTCAGTGACACTATGTGTGTTTGTCTCAGAGACACCATGTGTGTTTGTCTCAGTGACACCATTTGTTTGTCTCAGTGACACCATGTGTGTTTGTCTCAGTGACACCATGTGTGTTTGTTTCAGTGACACCATGTGTGTTTGTCTCAGTGACACCATGTGTGTGTCTCAGTGACACTATGTGTGTTTGTCTCAGAGACACCATGTGTGTTTGTCTCAGTGACACCATTTGTTTGTCTCAGTGACACCATGTGAGTTTGTCTCAGTGACACCATGTGTGTTTGTCTCAGTGACACCATGTGTGTTTGTCTCAGTGTGAATGAGGCTCTATCTATGACGTCTGTTTGAAGATTAAACAGCTTTTGTTCTTGACGAGTCCAGACTTGCAGCTAATCTGAGAGTTCAAACTAACAATGGAGACCAGAGAGAGACCAGAGAGAGACCAGAGAGAGACCAGAGAGAGACCAGAGAGGGACCAGAGAGAGACCAGAGAGGGACCAGAGAGAGACCAGAGAGAGACCAGAGAGAGACCAGAGAGGGACCAGAGAGAGACCAGAGAGGGACCAGAGAGGGACCAGAGAGAGACCAGAGAGGGACCAGAGAGAGACCAGAGAGGGACCAGAGAGAGACCAGAGAGAGACCAGAGAGAGACCAGAGAGGGACCAGAGAGAGACCAGAGAGGGACCAGAGAGGGACCAGAGAGAGACCAGAGAGGGACCAGAGAGAGACCAGAGAGGGACCAGAGAGGGACCAGAGAGAGAGACCAGAGAAAGAGACCAGAGAGAGGCCAGAGAGAGACTAGAGAGAGACCAGAGCAAGTTTCTGTGGTGGGGGTGAATGCTGTGGGGAGTTTGCATGTTCTCCTTGTGTCATTTTTCTTCAGAGACAAATGCAGAACTTGACGTGACCTTTTCTGTGTGTTTTGGAGCTTTAATATTCTCATCTCCAGTTTCAACACTTTCTCTTCCTCTGTTATCTCCTTTATCTGCAAACAGTGGGCGACCTGCACCTGTGCCCCCCCTCCTCCT